GTCATATAATGCCAGAAATTAAGGAAGTACTTTAAAACAAACAAACAAAAAGAGGTGAAAGCATGTCAAAAGGACACAGAAGTCAACTTGGAAAAGCTCTCAATGCTACAATTTGAGCAAGAAAATTAAAAAAACATAGTATTGGATTATAACCTAAAAATAAAATAAATATACACAAGTCCATACTGATAAATGATTGGATAAGTAAACAGATGACAGGGGAAGGAGAGAAGGAACAAATCTTCCTCACAAAGAATTCCAAATAATATGTATAGATCCAAGAGATAAAGCTTAAGTCCCCTCCTCTTGAGTGTAGGTTGGACATGGCATCATGCTTTCAAAAACCTGAGTTTATGAAGGGAACTTTATAATAGATAAACCTGGAAGATACTATGTTAACCAAGTGATCAGGTTAATATAAATAGTGATTAGGCCTGGTGATTTAATAATAGGAAAGAATAAGAAACTATCATAGATCTTAGAAGCCTAGGAAGACATGATGACCAAATCCAATGTGGAATCCTGGACTGGATAGTGGAACAAAAAAAGGACATTAGAACCTAGTCTAATCATGACAAAACATCAGATATATCCCAATAGCAGGATATTCTATAAAATACCTGACGAGTAATCTTCAAAACTGTCAAAGTCATCAAAAACAATGAAAGTCTGAGAAAATTTCACTACCAAGAAGAGTCTAAGAAAGTGTGACTACAGTAGTAGTTTCCTTAATAATATCTTGGAAGAGAGAAGGGACATTAGGTAAAAATTAAGGATACCTGAATAAAGGATGAACTTTAGTTAAGGATACTTTCTCAATACAGTGTCATTAATTGTCAAAATGTTCCACATGAGATGTTAATAATGGAGAAACTGGTACACAGGGTAACTCTCTGTTCTATCTTTGTAATGATTCTATAAATCTAAAACTGTTGTAAAAAACGCAGAAACCAGTTTGGCTCAGTGGATAGAGCATCGGCCTGCGGACTGAAGGGTCCCGGGTTCAATTCCGGTCAAGGGCATGTACCTGGGTTGCGGGCACATCCCCAGTAGGAGATGTGCAGGAGGCAGCTGATCGATGTTTCTCTCTCATCGATGTTTCTAACTCTCTACCTCTCTCCCTTCCTCTCTGTAAAAAATCAATAAAATATATTTAAAAAAATAATAATAAATAAATAAATAAACAAAACTGTTGTAAAATAAAAAAGCATTTTTTTTAAGATATCAGTGGAAACACTGGGGAAACCTGGAAAAAGTTCACAGTTAAGTAATGTATCAATGTTGATTTCTTGGTGTGATGATGTACCATGTCAAATATACCACATTAAATGTAACATGGTTATATAGGGGAAACTGGTGAAAGGTATATGGAAACTATAAACTTTCTTTGCAAGTTTTCTGTAAAGCTAAATAGTCTATTTTTTTAATGGGCAAAAATATTTGTATTATTAAAGAAATAAAAATATTTAAACCTACACTTCTTAAGAGACATGAGTGACCAATAAAGATATAAAATATGCTCATTATAGCAATCCTATATAATAAAAGGCTAATATGCAAATCAACCAAACAGCAGAACGACCAGTCACTATGACACACAATGACCACCAGGGGGCAGACACTCAATGCAGAAGCTGCCCCTTGGTGGTCAATGTGCTCCCACAGGGGGAGCACCACTCAGCCAGAAGCCGGGCTCACGGCTAGCGAGCACAACGGTGGTGGTGGGAGCCTCTACCACCTCCAGAGCAGTACTAAGGATGTCCGACTGACGGCTTAGGCCCACTCCCCACTGGAGTCAGTCAGGCATCCCCCAAGGGCTCCCGGACTGCAAGAGAGCACAGGCCGGGCTGAGGGACCCTGCCCCCTCCAGTGCACAAATTTCGTGCACTGGGCCTCTAGTATAATTATAAACAAAACCAAAAAAAACTACACACCTATTTGAAATTAATTTTTTGAGCTCTTAAATGAAATGGACAAATCCTTGAAAGGCATAAACTACCAAAGATCACTCAAGAAATAAATAATGCTCTGGTGGGTATGCTCAGTAGTTGGAGCGTCAACTGGAATACCAAAGGGTCGTGGGTTTGGTTCCCTGATCAGGGTGGGTGCAGGAGACAACCAATGGATGTGTGCCTTTCACATCAATGTTTCTCTCTGTCTCTCCTCCCCCTCTCCCTCCCCCTCTCCCTCTCCCTCTCCCTCTCCCTCTCCCTCACTTTCTCCCTCTATAAAACAATGGGAAAAAATATCCTGGGGTAAAGATCAACAAAAAAATAAGTAAATAACTTCAATAACCCTACAAGTATTAAAGAACTGAATTCCTAGTTCAAAATCCATGAAGTAAACTCCAGACCCATATGGCTCCATTGGTAAATTCCATCAAATATTTAATAATTATTCCAATTCTATACATATTCTTCCAGAAAACAGAAGAGGGAATCCTTCCCAACTACTAGATGTGGCCAAGATTATTCTGACAACAAAAGCAGACAAAAAGATTACAAGAAAAGAAAACCACAGACCAATATTCTTCATGAATACACTAGATGCAAAAAACCTTTAAAATTTTTTAGCAAATTAAATCTAGTCATACCCAGAAAAATAATTCATCATTAACAAGAGGGGCTTTCCCAGGAATGTGAACTTGAATTACATTCAAAGATCAAAGATAAAACAACAGATACAGGAAAGGCATATGACAAAATCCAAAACATACAAGCAAATATTCCAGATGACAACCACAGAAATTTCATGAGAAACATAATTAAATGCCAAAAAATTATGTTGGATATTGACATAACGTGAGAAGATGCCAAATCTTTGAAAGTCATCAAGTATAAACCCAATTTCTTATAACACAGTTGATCTTGGAAGTAGTCTGATTTTTTCAGCATCATATATGTCTTCTGACTCTATTTTTACTTATGCTAAAATTAAAATTAATTCTTGTACACTGAAAATGTTTGGAATGGAGTATGATTACATTGGGCCAATATGGAAAGGGAACGAAAAAAAAGAGATAATACTAAAAGTTTCTAATTTGCTACAGGTAAAGCTTAAAGTAGATCATTAACAAGTACATGGAATTATTCTCTGCCAAGGAGACAAATAAACCAAAATTTCTGTCTTTACTTGTCAAAAGATATGGGAAAATTGCTTCCTTTCTTCAGGCCTCATTTTTCCTGGCCTTTTATAAGAAGAGGCTACACTAGATTTGTTCTTAAATTCAACAAATATTTATTGAGAAGCTACTATGTATCAAACACGTCCCTAGACATTGGGGAATATGGGGTGGAGGGGCAGAAAAAACTCCCTCCCCTCACAGAGCTTACAGCCGAACAAAATACATATGTAAGATATGTAGCATGTTTAAGGATAATAAACACTATGGAGACAAAGCAAGGAAGGGGGCAGAATGTACTGAGGGGAGTGTGGTTTTAAGTGGGATTATAAGGGGACTAGATGATTTCTAGGTTCACTTTCAGTTCAAAAAAATCCAATGATTTCCTTCTAGGTTGATTGGGCAGTATAAAAACACACTGTGAACCTCTGAACCTGACCTCTTTAAACTCGTGTATTCTATCACCTTGCTCTGTATATCACCACTTACATTTAGAAAAACAGGATTAAACATACATTTTCCTTACTGAGACAAAGCATATGCAGTTATTTAATAAAATAAGTAATTTCCTAGTCTTGACTTGGAAGAGGAAAAATAAGAAAAATAAAACCTATCAACTTCTCCCCAAAGGTTCTAAAAATGTGGCATTTTGTACGATATAGAAAGGATTAAAATTAGCTGTTTTTCCTCCTCCTCCAATATACTTGTGGCCTGGAATCTGGTCCTTTACTGAACAAGAGGTGGTTTAACAGCCCCTCCAAAATAAAAGATTTTCCATAGGCAAGAAAGTAAGTAAAGTATTATTACTATAGTTATTGCAGCTACCATGTTTTGTATGTCTGCTATGTGCCAGGTACAGCACTAGACATTTTATATATTAGGCTGAACTACATGAAACTGACATTTATAGATCAAAATCAGCAAATTTATATAGTTTAAATAAGTTTTCATCCATTAATTCCAGATTCCATGAGAGAGAAGTCTGTGTAAGTTAACTGCATTGCTGCATTTCTATAGCTCATCTATTAAATTATTATCTTGGACAAAACTTCAAGGTAACATGAAATTTCTGTTTGGGTATGATATAAGGCCTTCTGCCAAGTTGATAGTGTGCAAACAAATAACTTACAAAATTTAAGTTAGGACTTCATTTAGGATTTAAATGTTTTTTAAGCATCATAATTCATAGCACTAATTTCATCAAAAGCTATCCATAGCCATGTAGCTTCATTTTGAAAAAAAGCTCAATTTATTAATTATAACCACTATTCCACTTACAAAGACAGAATCTTCACTCCAAAAGTATTATTTTTGTTCTCCACTACAAAGACCAATAATTATACTAATATCTTAAATCTGTCTATTTGGAATGGAATTTCTATTTTTTGGAAATGCCTCATTAAAAGAATCTTTCCCAAAAGAGAACACTGTCTATAAACCAGCTTATTAAGGTCAATCCAAACAATTTTAAATTCATCTTTTAAAGCAGGTCTAAAGTTTTTTGTTTTTCTTCTGGCAGCTATTTTTCATTCACTATACAGTTCATGTCTAGAGTTCACATTTATAAGACATTAATAAAGTAGCTTTTAATATCTTCTAAGTATTTCTATGTAATCTAAAGTTTCATCTAGCAGAAAAAGGCAGGCACTTTGTATGTTACATTATTAGCAGATGTGAAAGTTTACTGCCAACATTTAAATGCCAATAGAAGTCTCAGTGAAACATTAAGACAAAAAAGAAAGAAAGAAAAACTACCTAAAGTTGTTTTTTTTTTTGGGGGGGGGTGGGGGTGGGAGAAGGAAATTACTATAAGAAGAATATGATGATTATATGTAGAAATCAAGAACATTAAACAGGTAAATATATTTCAAAAACCTACCAGGTCATTGCTTGTAGATGTGAGTCTTAGTTTTTCTTCAATTTCTTTTCCAATTTTCTGAACAGTTACCTGAGTCTGTTTAATTGCACACTGGGCTCTATGAAGCCTAGAAATAAAAGTTGTAGAAAATTTTAAGTGAGTTAACTATAAACTCTCAACACTGAACCACAGATATACAGTAAATGGAATGAAATGGAGACAATTCCTCCAAGATAGACAGAATTAATAATAAACCCAAACTAACTATTTCACAATTTTCTAGCGTATTTACAATGAAACACAATATGCTTTAAAATCAGCCTTTCTATACCTGCCTGACTGCCTCTGACACGTTGAGAGCTAAAATAAAGAACTCACAGGAGTCTGGAAGAGACGTTAGAAAATTATCTGGTCAAATCCTACCATTTTACAGATGTAGAACTGAGGCCTAAGAGAAGTTAAGTGAATTGCTAAAGTCACCGGGAGAATATCACTGCTATCAAGGGTGAATATTACTTATGGGTATCCATAAAAAAATGAATGACCTCAGTTAAAGAAGACTGATTTAAAGTAGCAGCCACATTGAAACAAGCAACATTAAAAAATACCGAGCTATTTTCTTTTTTGGCTTAATCATAGGTTTGGGTTTTTCTTGGTCTCTGTCTTCCAATAGTGTGTGAGTGTGTCTTTGTGTGTGTGTGTATTTCTTATACATTTGCATATTAAAAATGGTCAAATTGTCTTCATTTATAGATGACGTGATTTTCATGTAGAAAATCATTAGAAATCTACAAGACAACTTCTAGAACTAAAAGTCAGAGGATAGAAGGTAAATATACAAAGCTCCAGTTATATTTCTACATATGGGTCAATAGTTTTGCAATCACAATCAAAATCCCAAAAGGCTCTGGGGTTTTTTTTGGATGGAAATAAAGAAGCTGATAGCCCAGCTGGCGAGGCTCAGTGGTTGAGCATCAACCTATGAACCAACAGGTCACAGTCTGATTCTGGATCAGGGTACATGCCCCATTTTCAGGCTCGATCCTCAATGGGAGCATGCATAAGGTGGCCAATCAATGATTCTCTCTCATCATTGATGTTTCTATCTCTCTCTCTCCCTCTCTCTCCCTCTCTGAAATCATTAAAAATATTTTTTTAAAAGAAGCTGATAGAATAATTTACACAGAAAAAAAAGGATCTAGAAAAGATAAAACAAACTTGAAACCTGCCAGACTTCAAGGCTTTCATTTTTATAAAGCTATATAATCAAAACAATATGGTACTGGCATAAAGATAAAAAAATAGATCAATGGAACAGAGTAAAAAGTATACAAATAGACCTACACATATATGGCCAATGGATTTTGGACAAAGGAACCCATACAAATGAGTGGAGAAAGTAAAGTTTTTTTAAATAAATTATGCTGGAACACCAGATAAACATAGGGAGAAAATGAATTTCATTCCCTACCTCACAGCACTCACAAATAATTCAAGAAGATCACAGTAAATATAAAAGCTAAAATCATAAAACTTCTAGAAGAATACATAGGAAAATCTCTTACAACTTTGGGGTAGGCAAATATTTCTTAGAGAAGACACAAAAAGCACTAACCATAAAATTTTTAATGGATAAACTGGACTTTACCAAAATAAAATAAAAAATGTCTATTCATCTAAAGATGACATTAAGAAAATGTAAAAGTAGTCCACAGACTGGGAGAAAATATTTGCAAAAAATCAATCTGACAAAAAGCTGTGTCTGGAGTATTTAAATAACTCTTACACACCAGTAACAAAAAACACAACCCAATTAAAAATGGGCAAAAAAACGAAATGCTTTACAAATGAAGACATAAGAATGGCCAATAAGCATAGGAAAAGGTGCTCAACATCTTCATCATCGTGGAAATGCAAATTAAAATCATAATGAAATACCATTTCACACCTGTTAGAATAGCTAAAATTAAAATGACAACATCTAATGGGAGCAAAGATATGGAGCAATTGGAACTTGTATGCAGTACTATCATTTGAAAAACTATTCATTATAAAATTAAACATACTTCTAAACTATGACCCATAATTTCTACTCTTAAGTATTTACTCAAGAAATATAAAAACATGCCCACAAGAAGGTTTATAGAAGACTGTTCATAGAAAACAACCCAAGTGTCCATCAAACAGAAGAATTAATAATACCCATACAGTGAAATTCCATTCAGCAATAAAAGAACACACCACTGATACAATATAAATGAATCTCAAAAACATTATGTTGAGTGAAAAAAAACAGAATATACTGTATGATTCCATTTATACACAGTTCAAGAACAGGTAAAAGTAATGTATGGTGACAGCAATCAAGAGTTGCCTGTGTGGGGTGGACCGACTGGTAGAGACCAGGGAGAACAAAAGAACTGAGGTGAGGAAAATGTTCTGTATCTTGATTAAGGTACATGGGTATACAAGGAATTTAAACTTAAGATCTACTCATATCACTGTATGTAAAGTTTACCTCAGTTTTTAAAAATTGGTCAACAATCCTAACCTAAGTGTTATCCTATATATGATATTAATTTATTAGGAATTTGATGGCACCAATACCTCTGCCAACATTATTATTATTATTATTATGCCAAGCACTAAAAATATTCATGGCATATTCTGCACTTTTGGAAGTTGCCTGACAGTTCTTAAGGATTTCTTAGGTCATCTAAAAGGGAGCAACTCTTATTATAGCTAGTTTGCTCATGAGATGAGGGTTTTTTTTGCAATGTCCTCAGAGCTCCTAAGGAATCCAACCGAATCCATCCTATTGCCTCTTGCTCTGGGTGTATGTGTACACTCTTGATCGTAACAGTCTCTTACAAAGGTGGCTCTGAAGAAATTTAAAAGCAAGAAAATGCTCTTTGTGATGTGCTCCCAGCATACTTCAGCCTCTTTTCCTGATATCCCTTACTTTGCACAATACATTACAGCAATACCTAAGTACCGACAGTTCTCCGAACACATCATGTCATTTCTTGCTTCTGTACCTTTGAGTGAGCTGTTCTAGCTCCCCACATGTACCATGTCAGACAACCCTGTCTTTTAACAGATAAGTACACTCCTAAATCCATTAAGAGGCAGCTCAAGCATAACCTCTTATTCAAAGGCCATCCCAGACTATTCCAAACAGGTAGAGGAACTTCTTCTGGAATTCTATGTATCTTGTATTCTAGTAGAATAACACTAACAAAAACTATAGAACCGCCCTAACCGGTTTGGCTCAGTGGATAGAGTGTCGGCCTGCGGACTAAAGGGTTCCGGGTTCGATTCCGGTCAAGGGCATGTACCTTGGTTGCGGGCACATCCCCAGTGGGAGGTGTGCAGGAGGCAGCTGATCGTATCCATCTGGAACAAGTGTTCCAGTTTCTAACTCTCTATCCCTCTCCCTTCCTCTCTGTAAAAAATCACTAAAATATTTTTTTAAAAAAACTATAGAACCACATTAAACAACAATTATTTATTTCCTTGTCTATTTCCTTATTAGATCTTTCTGAGGGAAAAAACATCTCTTTTCATGTACATTCCCAGTACTTAGCACAGACTATGGCACAAAGAAGGCACTCAAAATGTATTTGCCGACTGAACGTCAACTAATGCCTGAATGTAAAAGCACAGTCCCAGATTTAATTATTTTTAGTGATCAGTGGGAGACTGAAAGATTAACATGATAGTTTTCTATATTTATAATTCAAAAATAATATATTAAAATCAAAGAGCACACAAATTAAAGACCACTCATTCATGTAGGGAAACAAACTATTTTTATCAAAAGTATTAGCATAATTCAAATAACGATAGGCACGATCAACCTAGAACAGAAATCAATAAAATAGCCTGTTACTTTAAAAGAGGGAAAATGCTGCCTAAAACTCACTGGTACTATGCAAACAACCTTGTCAAATGGTAAAGACTTTAAAAATAAAAATGATTCATGACCATAATTAATGTATGACTTCAACTATTTGGCTCTCACTGCCCCAGACGCTTTCTGATCTTACCTTAGGGGCTTAAAACACACAGACAGAGTCACATTTCCTCCAATCTTCAGTGTTATCCAAATAGACTTTCAGAGCCCCTGCTACATCAAGACAGAGCTAATAACGTCCCCCTTTCAAACCCAACAGGAGAATAAAAGTTTGAAGTGCTCAGGCTCTTAAATATAACATGGGACATCCTGACTCCCCTGGGGCTGAGGAGGTGAAAACTGACAAGAAAAGAAACAACTGCTTTACCTCCAAACCAGCTAGCCAGTTTCAGAGGAATGTTTCTTAATTATGCAAACTATGAAATGACACTGTAAAGAAAGAAATATATGTCATCTCGTCATCTGGGTGACTGGTCAATATCAACACTAACACTCCCAAATTGAAATAAAACCCATCTTCACTGGTGTGGGGAGGAGGGATCAAGCAACTATTTGATAGGTATTCTGATTATAGCAAACTAGAGGCCCGGTGCACGAAATTTGTGCATGGGTAGGGTCCCTAGGCCTGACCGGCGATCAGGGCCGATCGGGGACTTCTGGCTGCCAGCCGGGGCCTTCCTTTGTTCTGCGCCACCCCGTTGGTCAGCGCACATCATAGTGAGTGATAGAACTCCCAAACTCCCAAGGGGACACTTTGCATATTAGCCTTTTAGATAGATAGATATAGATAGATAGATAGATAGATAGATAAATAGATAGATAGATAGATGCACCCCTATTACTTAATATAATTTGAGATAACAATAAAATTAAAATTGGGCTACATATACGTTAGCTTTGCAGTTAGATATTGCTATGAATGTAAAGATACATTGAATAAAATGTATTATATCAAATAAATATTAATAAACATTGAGACAATACCAATGAGACATTAACAATAATCTTAGTAAAGGAGAAGTTACAATTTTTGTCTGCTTAGTATTGATCATATCACATATGAAATGCTGCATTCAATTTTAAGATGAAGAATAACAACCCCTACAATGACAGTGAAGTATAATTTCCTGTGGATTACAGAGAGATAAAAAGGAAGAAGAAAATAGGAAAATACAGAATTCTATTGAGAACAATAGAGACCTTATCATTAA